GAATGGTATATCCATCCATTCAGAGGGAGCATCGTATCGTACTACGTATGCTTCCTTTCCAGTACGTACGTATCCTTTCAATACAGTACGTACGTATCCGTTGCAACTGGTTTCTCCTAGTATCTCTTGAACCATGACAGTTTTGACAGAATACCTTTAGCTTAGTAGTACTACTAGTAGGGGGGGATGAGGATAAGAAAAGAAGGGCAGAGTTTAAAGAAGAGAGTAGTAGTAAGTTCCAACGGAGGAGGGATTAGTATGCTTTCAGCTTTGACCTGTGATAAATTGGAGTAAAATAATGATTGTTCTGGAAACATAATCTTCTGGCGATATGGAGTTGTTGTGAAGGATTTTTCCAAATTTTGTTTATCCAAGAAACAGGAAAAACTAACAACAAGGGTGGACGATAGTGGTACTACTACTAGTAGTAGTATCAACTGCGTGATATGCACAATGCCACGAATCTGGTTTGTGCGACATGCTGTATGACATCGCAATTACTTCAACCTTCAGATTTAGCCACCAGTAGTAGTCACAGAATTTGAATGAATACTTCAACGAATACTAGCTACTTATGTTTGTTATTGAAGTACTTCGGTACTATCTTCTAATATTGTTTTTGTACCGGTAGTACGTACTAAGATGATTTAGAGTACTGTAATTACGCAGTACGTACCTTGTGCTGGTGTCAATCGTATCATTGTTTTGAAAGACTTCGGACTATGCGTCGAGTTTCTGGCGAAAGAATGTTCGCGGCTCATTTTTGTCCACGATTCAACAATAGCATGTGCTATTCTTTGTTCTTTGGTCATTCACGGTACGTACGTAATCGTACGGTACCTGTACCGTTTGACAACGAATTATTATTTTTATTTATTACTGTGCCGCTCTGTACCTGTAATACACAGTACCGTTTGCCGTTGGGAAATACTTCGTGCAGTATAGTGGCATCACGATTTCAAAAATACAGCATACGAGGGACCCCGTCGCGTTCGCAAGATCGGCGGCTTCATTTTTCTACGTAACTACTGTACTGTAACTGGAAGCCACAAGATTTTTTCTGAATCGTATGCAGCGTAGAAAGTTAAACGAAAATACTTCAAAATATCAACATTGCATTACGGTGCTTAGCGAGGTAAATAACATATCTTGTTGATTCGATTGAAGAATCATTGCATTGGTAGTTGAGGACTTTTGATGTCTATTCAAAAAAGCATTGTGTGAGTACGGTAAGCAAGTCCAGGAATGATTGGAGTCGAGACCTTTTTTGCGACCACCTTTTTCCCTTCTCACAAGTCAAACATTGCTCTCTCCCCTAAATTATAGAAAGAAAGCATACTTTAATAGGATCGGCCTGCAACAAGGGACCAACAATGTCAGATGCAGAGATCCCCCCAGGGAATAACGACGAAGCCGAGGAACCGGAATCGTTGAAGGAAGAATCCGATGAGGCTTCCGTCGACACGGTAAATAAAATGACCCGCTGCCAGCGTATATGGCTTGGCGTTATAATTGCGGTGGTTTTGCTCGTTGCAATTGCTGCTATTTGCGTTGCTATTGTTCCAGAAGCCAGAAGAATGAAGAGTTTGAACAAGAAAAAAAACAAGATCCCAACTGTTACAACAAGCGATCTATTTGAGATCGACGAATCCATTTTCTTTTCCAACAGTACCGAACCGTACGATTCGATCGAAGAAGTTCAGAAAGATATTGAAGGGATGGTAATGAGTATGGTCAACAAAATTATTCTCAACGAAGCAAATGGAGACGAGGAGTATTATTACGACGACGACGGTTTTATGTTCAGGGACGCTCTCTTCGCATTGGACTCTGGAGCCGAATTCGCCGATTTTTCTTCTGCGGCTTCTCCAGCTGTATCGACAGAAGCCATTGCGGTAAATAGAGAATCTGATGGAGTATTCGAAGGCATAACCGACTTTGATACCTACCAACAAGAGGCAGGTGCTGTTAAAAACGATCTCGTCAAATCTAATGGTGATTACGTTTTCGTTGGAACCGACAATCGCATACTAGTTTGGAATCTCGAAGGCAACCTGACAGACGAGGTCGAAATCGAGTCGGACACGGTTTCAGATGATGATGATGATGATGGCTTCAGTAGATGGATATCTAAGCCCCACATTCAAGCTCTCATGATGAATCCCGAAGGAACCAAGCTTATTGTAGTCACGGATGATCCAGGCTCTTACCGCTCTCGATACGCAAACAGCGAAAGCGGCGATTATCTTGACATTGATGTCGTTAGTTCTTATTCAAAAACTCGAATCATAGTGTATAGCATCGCAGAAGGATCACTCACAGAACTCTCGCAGTCGAAAATTGACGGTGAACACAGTGACTCGTATACGGTAGGTAACAACGTTCATATTGTGACCCGGATGAACATGCAAACGTGGGAAATTTTGAAGGAACCGTTGAGTCGCTGGCGTATTGATCCAAGGTATGGTATGACCGACGAAGAATACGCCGCAGCAGCCATGCGCAGGGCGGAGGAAGAAATAATCCCGCAATTTGTAGAAAAACTCGTCCAATTTGTCACCGAAGACGACGAGATTTTACTTTCACGTTTCACTAGCTTCCCTGGTTCCATGGCTGATTACGACGCTATTGCCCAAATCAGTTCATTCGACGTTAGTATCATCGATAGTACGAATGACATTGAAGTGAACGCTTCAAAATCGTTGATTCTTCGCCCCGGAACCAACGGCTATGTATATGCTACTGATGACTGGATCTGGGTGTCAGATCAAGCTTCCATCTTCAGTGTTGACGAACAAAAAAAAGTTCAACAAACCATGTTGCTTGGATTTCGACTGAATGGGGCATCTTCTTCTTTTGCTGCAGTTGGGTCTGTTCATGGATTTCTGTTGAACCAATTTGCGATCGATTTTGTGGAGGATGCCGACAGTGGCAAGGAATATATAAGAGTTGCTACTACACAGGATTTCGGCTCGCTTCCTTGGATGTGGTTAGAAATGTGGAGGTTTGATGACTTGATAGTGAGAGAAGAAGAGGAAGACATGTCACGAACCAAAAACGAGATTGTGATTTTCGAAGTACCAAACGTAGAAGACAGTGATCAAGGCATCAGTGAATTGATTGAGGTTGGCAGCGTCGAGATTGGAAAGAAGGACGAGGTAAGAGTTGGTCAACGAAACATTATAACTTGAAAACGTTAATTATTTGAATTCCTTCTTTACTTTTCTCACACTTTCTCTGATACTTTCATTACTTTTCGCCCTCAAGACAATCACTGCGGTCCGGTTCTTTGATAATCTTAGCTACGTTGTCACATTTGAACGTACCGATCCTTTCTATGTTCTTGATTTATCTGACCCGACCAATCCTGAAGTACTGGGTGAACTAGAGGTTCCTGGTTTTTCGGAATTTATGCATCCGATTACAGATGACAATTCAATGCTTATAACAGTTGGACAAAATGCCGATGAAGATGGTGTTACCACAGGTTTTCAGATATCTATTTTCAACTCGACTGTGCCCACTGACCCCAAATTGGTCGACAGATTTCTTCTCGAAAACCAAAGAGGAGACTCTTGGTCAGGAAGCTCTGCGTCATGGGACGAAAGGGCTTTCCGGTACGTTGAAGTCGGCGACCTAGGTCGTCTCATCATTCCCGTCGATATCTATTTCCATGGGTGGGATCAGTTTGGAAACAGGCTCGGGGATGATTTTCAAGGATTCATGGTATTTGGTATTGATTTGACACAGACAGAGAACATGATCACACGCGAAATAGAGATCAATCATGCGGAAAATAGTGCTTCGACTGGACCTTTCCCTGAAATTTTCCCTGCCAGGGACTGCTTTTGCGGTTTTCATAACATCTATCTTCCAGAGAGAAGCATGCTCTTCGATGGGAAACTCATGACTATGAAAGGTAACAGTGTGATCAATACAGATCTTGTTTCAGGACAAAGCCTATGGGATCTATCGCTTTCACATCCAGAAGACAACAGTTGCTGCGACGATGACATGATGTTCGACGACGACATGATTGGCGACAAGGACGAGGATGACATGATGTTCGACGACGACGACGACATCGACGAGGACGAGGACGAGGACGACGATGCCTTTACCGGTGACGACTTTTGATGTGTAAAGGTTAGTATTTATGCTTTCATCAGCTGTTCAGTAGGACCAAAAAATGAGAAGGCAACAAAATATAAAGCACTGCACATGAAGCTGTACGTGTGCTTATTCAATATCATCTTTTATCGTGCACAGATTTCGCTTGTTTCCCTCCAGTATGATCATATTATCATACAGGTCATATCATGATGAACAAACTATTTATAACGTGCAGAATAGTAGCAACAAGCTTATTAGTACTACTATGATTATGATTAATTCACATCAATGGTATGCCACGTTGATTCGTCAGGTGCGCAATCCAACTTCAGATGATAATTTGTTACTGTCAGTCATGAACTGAAGCTAATTTTGGAAAGTTTTACCTCCCATCACAGAATATCATGCGTCTTGATAGCACCTGAAGGGTAAGAATTAGCTTGATTTTTATGTTGGCCATTCTGACACCAATTCCACCCGCACAGAATCCACAGAATATAGAAACACCGTGATTCCAGCACATGAATCCATAGCCCATGAGCCCATTTCCAACATATAGTCACAAACAAACTGAAAGGAGAATAGTCATCAATTTAACAATGATGCCGAGGTCAATATTGATCATGCTTGTAAACCTGAACTTGAGCTTTACATGTGTTCTGAGTGCTTCGACTTTACCAATAAAATTGGAAGTAAGACAGTTTACAAGAATGACCAACCACTCCATTGGTGGAAAGTGCACCAGGCAAGTTTTCCAATTCTTGCAAGGCTGCCCAAGATCTATCTTCCTGTGCAAACCACTTCAGACCCATCTGAGCATGTATTCAGTCAACCTTCCAGACTCCTCTCAGCAATGCCCTGCCACTTGGATCTAGAGTAAGCAGGAAAAGAATCCTTTGTATCTAAACACTGGGAGTGTTTTTTAAGCAGGTTAATATGGCAGAGATTGAGATGGCTGAAGCAGATGGTGAGGATGCTTGTGATGAATGAGGTTCAAGAGGAACAAAGAATTTAGTATTTGTCAAGCGTTAAGAAAGTTGTTGTATGGTCTCAAATCATGCGTTTGTGTCTTCAATCAGATACATACTATCCTAGTTGGTAAATACGTAGCAGTAAGTAGTGATGTTTGAACTGTTGTCACAGCTTTCCAACAGTAATTTAGCATTGGGAATGTTTTCAATGTTTACTAATGCTATTTGTGACTTCAATTGGATATATATTGTACTAGTTGGTAAATTAATAGTAGTACATAGTGATGTATGTTTGATAATGTTTTGCTTTTTTCACGCTAACACTCTGATTAACTTTTTGTTTACTAGTGTTTTTAGGAATGTAACACTTTACACAAAAAGTTATATTACCAAACACTATCATCTTTAGGCAAATCAAATGCTTCTTCTTAGTGAATCCTTTTGATCTAATTCAGAAACATGTTTATGCTATTCCTGTTGGAGTAGTACAAGTATAAGTAGCTTATCCAAAATGATCAAGACAACAACTTGTCCAATACAACAACTTCTAGAAAGACCACCAAGGAAGCTCCCCCCTGTCAAATCCAACAGTATACTGGTTGCAGTAGCAAGCACTACTACTACTAACTAGTTGGTCAATATCATGTGTTGGAGTTCCTCAAGGTGTGTTTTGGGAGCTCATGGGAGGAATTTTTGTCTTTTGATGTTGTCTCAAATTTGTACCCTGGTTTCATACTACTACGAGTTTCATAACAATTGCACGCCGTCTTGCCCAGAGAGCAAAAAGTAATAATTTGAAGTTCTAAACTTCAGTTTGAAGTTAAGAACTTCAGGTAGAAAGTCTACTAGGTTCTACTGAGCTAGTTTTTGGATGGCATTCGTGATTGATTCATTATTGATTGCCCTGAACCATTTTTTTTTGTTTTGAGGGGAATCATGATTTGACCATTCAGTAATTTTAAAAAACTAGCTCAGTAGAACCTGGTACATGATGTACGAGCAAAAGTTCATAACTTCAAATCAAAGTTTAGTACTTCAAATTATTACTTTTTGCTCTCTGTGCAAGACGGCATGCATTTGTTATGAAACTTGTAGTATTATTCCCAGCAAGCCAATTGGTCCATCAGCCTGCAACTTCCAGACCCCCTCCCTCTTGCTACCACTACTACTTGTACTAGTAATCTAATGAATAGAGAATGGTGGGTATACTACAAGTGAGTGTGGTTGTTAAGTTTTGTTGCTTGCTATTCCTTGAGGGGGTATAGTTTGTCCTCATGCTAAAGGTTGATTTACTAACTAGTCTTTTTGCAAATTTTGTTTTGCAGAATAATCAATCAGCCCAAAAAGGTTCTCTGGGGAAGAAACACCACCAGTAGTAATATGCACACCATGCATGATGGATAGAGAAAAGAAAACCCCTTCTGACTGAAGACTCCTCAGTGACAATAATTGGACCTTATTGAGCAACAAGAACAAGCACACCAAGGTTTAATGGCTGTTAACAATGGGTTACTGGCTCCTCCAAGGCAGCATATTGTATAGATGTGGCTCCCAAATATACGATACAGTCGTAGATTTTGGGCCCATATTTTGCGTGTAATAACTTCACAAAAATCCAGCACTATACATCATGGTCAGTATTAATAGAGAGATACTAATAGATTCTATTCCTGCATTGGTGTACATTAAAATCTATACATGGAAACTGAACCAGAAAGATCCTCTACTATCACGTACTGCAACAGCATGGTGTAACGTGCATGGGGGGATCAAAAGACTGCTTAGCCCTCATTATTCATATTTTGCTATCAAATCTAACTAAAAAGTTACTAAAGAACTCCAGTTTCATCCTTTTTGCCATAGGATTGCTCCCCACCAGTAGTTTGTTATTATTTATAGTCACAAGGATGGTAAGATGAAGCAATGTTGTTGTTGTTACTGCTCTGCCAATGTTTGTTGTTGCTACTGCTTGCCATTGGTTGAACATATTCAATGCCATTCCAAGAGCCTCCTTCCACATCTGATTAGTCTCTTTGTCTCTTTCTTGCTGGCCCTTCAGATACTCATTGAAAGCATTAGCATCAGGAACACTGGATTTTTCTGCTGATATGATGGTCTCTTCTTGGGAGTGGATTCTACAAGAGATGGTGTCAACACCAATGTCCAACACCAACATTGAAGATGTCAGTTTTTCTCCAGCAAGAGCAGCCAGTGCTCCTCCAACAGCAGTAGCAGTTACTGATCCTCCTCCAGCTCCATCAGCAAGAAACGGTTGACATTCCTTCAGCTCCATCAGCAAGAACAGTGGATGCTCCTCTCACAGCAGATAATGTGCCTCCAGCAGCAGTTGATGTTCCTTCCTTGTCATTGAGGCTTCAACAGAAGGGGGCTCAGAACTCTCCTCAGCTTCACTCTTAACAAAGTCTTGCCCCAGATTGAAGTCCTCCTCTCCAGTACCAAGATGATCCATCTGACCAATCAAGATATGGGCCCTCCTTGCCATCTTCACATACTCTGGCATATTTGGATTTCCAGTTGAGCTCTTCTTTGTCTTCATAGAGGTGTATTTGGTCCTGATAGATTTCCTGTTTTCTCTGAAGAATGGCCAACAACTTGCTGCAGGCTTTGCAGCAATGTCATCACAGGTGCCTCCATCAACAATGGGGAGCTTACTATACAGTATTAATCCCATCAGACCATATAACTCATCATCATAGTAGTTTGCTACACTTTGCCTTGTGACTGCTGTTGCCAGTTTGCTCCATCTTAAGAAAAATGGTACTATGGGAAATGGAGCTGGTGCCTCTTTGCTGCTATTGCTAAGATCCTCCTCCTGCTATTGCTCTGTTTGCTGCAACAAAGAAAGGAAATATAATGTACTGACTAAGAGAACCGGCTAGGACATTATTTATGTTGTGCTATAGTTAAAAGAGGTGCTTGATAGAGGCACTCTCTTTGTTGTTGCTGTTAAGGATATCTGAGTCATAATTTTCTTGTCGAGTTCTGTCTTAGATTCTGACAGGCTTTCTGGTGAATCTTACAATGGACTTTGAAATTTTGATTTGTGTGTTCCATCATAAAATATATTACTTTTGGAACCAGTTGTTGGACCTGGCCCAAAAGTAATGAATCTGTAACCACATGTAATAAATTTTTGGTCTCTCAGTCTATCAAAAGTACTACTAGTACTTCCTCCAGTCCACCACGTGTCATTGTAGCACCTCTACTACTGAAATAAGGTCAATATTTGGGCAATTGCTGGAATGCCTCTTTTTGTGCTTAACAGATCTAATATAGATGTCTACAGTTATGATTATTGCATTAAGTGAAAGTTTGTGACATGCTTGGGTTAGCTCTCTAAACAGGACCCATTTTGGCATATATGTGATTTTATCGTCAGTTAGGCTCTGCTGCTAGCTGTAATTTAAGGACTGGACTKGTTGCTATAGAAAGGCAAGACTTAGAGCTTTATCATGATATTCTTATCTTAACTATAGGGAATCTTTTTGTGCAGTCATAGTGGGTCACTAGAGGAGCCAAAGATTGCTCTAGCACATACTTGGGCCAATGCAGTTTTCATGTGGTTTTTTATTTTTTGAACTTGAGAGAGGATGCAAAGAAGAGAAAAAAAGTGCTGTGTGCATGGTGCTAATATGTCCCAAGTGTTATTTTGACATAATAATTTCACTCTTGATTTCACCACACCTCCTGATTCCTCTTTTCCTTGGTATTCTCATTCACTTCTTTCCATTCAACTGACTAAGACTGGCTTCTTTGCACCTCACATGACTCACCACAAGGCACTAGTACTGTGACTGTTTTGCATTGCCTGGCCCCTCATTGATAGGGGATGCATCAACTTGCTAGCTCTTGCTGATACTAGGGGACCCATTGACTCATGACTCAGCTGCTTCTTGTCTGTTGCCTTCACTACTAGTAAGAGGGGATCCATCAACTTGCACCACCATTGCTTTGATTCATAGGGGATCTGTCCGTTGATTCCACTAAGAGGCAGGGAAAAGGGCACATTACCAATTCATCAACTCCATAGGGGAGCCATCAACTTGCCTTGCACTTGGCACCTCTATTAAGAGGGGGGGAAGTGCTGACCTCAACAATCAACGACCAACATACAATAGGTTGTCTCTTTGTGCCTTGATTTGCTGCTGCTTGTTTTAACCCCCCCTTGATTCTTTCTAAAGCAAATGCAAATCAACAAGCAGCAAAACAATGATTATAGACACAAGGCTACTCCTTACTGCTGACAACACTGCAGCATCTAGCAGCAGCAACTCTTCACCACGTCACAAAAAGTGTTCGCGGGGTTTGGTCGCAACCCCGCGCGTGTAGTTTTTGTG